CACATGGACATGCGGACACGGATACATGGATACACGGACACATGGACATGCGGACACGGATACATGGATACACGGACACATGGACATGCGGACACACAGGCATGCGGACACACAGGCACATAGACACACACAGACACACGGGGATACGCGGACACATCGATGTGCAGGTACATGGACAGACAGGCGGACACATGGATGCCCAGTCACACGGATGCATGGACACAGACACTAGGATACATGGACACATGGACATGCGGATACAGAGATGGACATGAGGATGCAGATACACGGACATGCAGATATGGGGACACACGGACATGGGGACATGCAGATACATAGACACATAGATACATGGACAGACACACAGATGCACAGACACCCGGCAGATGGATATGCAGATACACGGACAGATGGATGGACACATAGATACATGGACAGACATGCAGACACACAGATATGCAGATACACGGATGGACACAGATATGCAAGACACATGGATACACAGACACGCAGATATATGGACACACAGACACGCGGATACACAAACACATGGAGACCTGGACAGACACACGGACACGTGGATTCACGCACATGTGTGCCAGTGTGGAGTGGACACATGGACCGGTGTGGAACTGCACAGACACCCAGACGGACACACGCACTGGTGCAGGACCATATGGACACACGGATGGAGGCACGGTCCCTTGTTACCCCCCACCCCAGCTGGGGGCTGCCAGCAGCTCTGCGGCATACCTGCAGGGCATCCGGAGCATGGGCATCACTGTTTACCTCCAGCTACAGCCCCCAGTAGGGTTCCTGGGGGGCAGCTGCTCTCCACAGCTGGGGGAGCTCCATCCTGGTGCCCCTTTGCTGTACCTGGTCCAGATTTGCCCCAGCCCTGCAAGAGCACATGGGGCAGGTCCCCTCTCTGTCCAGTGTCAGCCCAGAGGATGAGGGGTGTGAGGTGATCGTGCCCACTTGGGAGGGGCAGCAGGAGGAATAGTGAATGGGTACCCTGTGGAAACAGAGCAAAGTCCCAGCGTGGGGTTTGGGGTAGGGGAAAGAGCTGTAGTCAGGGAAGAAGGGGACAGGGATATATTGGCTAGCCTGGAGGAAAGCAAGGGGCCACTGCAGCCCCCTGTGCAGGCAGCAGCTTCACAGGCAAGACCCCTGCCTGAGGGTGGGTTGGGTGAGTCCCCAAAGCCAGGACTCCTGATGCTTCCCACAGGTCTGGCATTGATGGGATGCCAGGCTGTGTCCAAGGGGCTCACATGGCTGTGGGATCCGCAGGAAGATTCCCCCTGAAAGGTGCACGAGGATAGCAGGCCAGGGTCCCTGCACCCTCCACCTACCTCTGCCCTGACAGCCCTGGCACTGTTGTGGGCACAGTGCCAGGGTCAGCTGGGGGCAGTGGCTCTTTCCTGAACTGCTGCTCCTCCATCCCTGTGACAGCACCTGCCCCACCACCAGCACGAAGGAGATCCCACTGCTGGAGCAGCCTCTGGGCACCCGGGGGTACCTGGAGAAAGGGCCCAGACCAACAGGCACAAGATCCCATTGGCACAGTGCATCCGAGGGCACAGGGCTGGGACAGACAAACTCCAGTGCTCATCCATCTCCATGCACCCAGCAGGTCCAAGGGGGCCTGGCAGCAGGCAAGGGTATGGGTCCCAGGCAGGGGCAGCACTGGGCACTGGTATCCAAGGGTGTCCAGGGCTGGGATCATGCCCAGCTCCATGCCTTTCATCCTCACTTTGCCTGAATGATTCAACACCACACACTTAATGATTGACAAGGGGAAATCTATCCCCCTGGGGTCAGGTCTGTGAGCTTCCAAAAAAGCAGAAGATATTCCCCACCCATGACCAATATGTAGCTAACTGGGGACAGGGGCAGGAAAGGAGTGTGGATCTCTGTGGCTTCTTGCTCTGCCAGGGTGGGAGAGAAACTTCGAGGCTGACGGGAAGGGGAGGGGTTTGAACTGATAGCACCCTGCCCAACAGCAAACACCCACAGGAAAAAAAACCTGCTGAAACATCCCCATGGAGCTTGGGCCAGCAATAACAGATGGGGCTGGATGCCAGGCAACAAGAGACCCTGGCAAGAGCCACGAGCTGAGGATGCAGAGACAGCACCCAGCTGGTAGGTGGCACTGCCACCAAGCTCTGGTGACAAGAATGACAGCTGCCACCTATGCCTTGCTGCTCAAAGAAGGGAAACTGCAAACACAGGGAATTACACCCAGCAACAGGCAGGTTTGCCTGCAGACACCTTCCCAAAATAGCCCTGGCATACAAATGCTTTAGCCACAGCAACAGACAGCCCAGGGAGATGCAGCTCATTGTCCCCCCACTCACCCATCCAAGTCCCCCAGGACTTGCCCCATACAGGGGGATGTGGGCATCTCTTGTTCCCAGCCCCATGGAGACAGCTGCCTGCAGCCACATCTGGTCCCCTCTGCCCTGGGATAGGTCTGTGCTCCAGGGGAGCCACTTCTCACAGCTCCAGCTTGAACCAGCTGGGATTTATCCCTGCACCCACCCCCCTGTAGTGCAAGCACAAGGGCAGCCTGTCCCAGGAGGCACCTGCTGCACCCAAGGGACAATGCAAGAACAAGCCAAGATGGTCTTTAGCAAAATCCATCAATTTATTTATTCACAGTCAAGCAATAAATAGAGGAAAGTCAGGCAGTGGAGGTGCTGAGAGCAGGACAGACTCTTCTGAGAACAGGGACACGCCAGGAGCCCAACAGAGCCCAAGGCCTGTGGGACAGCAGGAGTGCGAGAAGGCAGAGGGACACCACGATGGGAGTCTGACCCCTGGGATAGGGTAAGACCTGAGCCCTGCTAGAGGGCAAGCCAAGGAGCTGAAGGACAAGTGTGTTGGAGGAAGCAGGAGACAGAGCCTAGCACAGGCAGCTACCTGGCCCCTAGCACTGGGAGCAGAAAAGGCAGCTCGAGTTCCTCCAGTTTCACAGCCCTCCCCAGAACAGAACTGCAGGGAAGGAGAAAGGCTTCCTCCCCCTCTCCAGCCCAAATTCCCAGCCCAGTGAGATGCCACTGCAGCTGAGACCAGACAAGATGGGGTGCACGTGAGCTGGGAAGGAATTCCACAGGCAGGGTCACATCAGATCCCGACAGCACCGATGTGGTGCCAGGCACAGAGGCACATGGACTGCTCGCCCTCCCTGCCCTGGCTCCACCAGGAGACTCCCAGCTACCTCCTGTGAGCTTCGTATTCCAGTTCAGGGACACAGCTCATCTCTGGGAATATCAGGCCAAGCCCCCCTGCCCACCAAAACCAGGCAGCAGCCATGGGGGCTGCAGGAAGGACAGATGCCACGGGGCAACCACCCCAGCACAGGCTCCTGCCTTTAAAAACCCACAATTTACATAAAACTGTCATTGTAAAACCTCCCCACAGAGCAGCACTGCGCAGGGAGGGGAGACGAGCAGAGTGAGCCCCAGGCAGAGCAAGATAAACCTTAAAGTCCAGATGCACAGGAGCAGGCAGAGCCCAGGGGCGCTGTGCCGGGGCAGTGGGAGTTACCGGCAGGTGCAGGACTCTGCGATCATGTTCTCATACTCCTTGTAGAGGATGCCTCCGTTGCGCTCGATCATGAGGACACTGATGGGGCTGTAGCGGTAGGGCACACAGGAGGGCCGGGGCACGTTGGCATCCACCAGCTGATGAACAAAGCTCTGCACCACAGCGTGGTTGGGCGCGTGGTAGTCGTAGCGGAGCAGGTGGGGACAGGCGCCCTTGCAGTAGCGCGGGTTGTAGCGGTGGGGAGCGATGATCCAGTGGTCCCAGCCCAGCTGTGCAAAGCTGACAGAGAAGGGGCGCAGGGAACAGTCACTCTTCTCCTCTCCCTGCTCCCGCAGGTAGTTGGGCAGGTCATGAGCCAACGTCCCTGTGTCACGCCGGTGCCGGTGGGGCTCTGCTGCCAGAGATGCCAACCCTGCCTGGGTGTCATTAAGGTAGAGCAGGAGGAAAGGGCGACTGGGGGACACTGGGGCATCGTGGCCTCCTGCTCGGCCAGCATGCACACAGACATGCCGCAGTGCCAGGCTCCTCATGCTGCTGTTCCCCAGGACCAGGTAAGGAGTGACGTCAACTTCGGCCCAGCCATGGCGGGGACGGGCAGCAGGGCTGAGCAGCACCCCAGGTGCCTCACCAGCTGCCACCAGCTCCAGAGCACAGAGAAGGCGACCATGGGCCAGTGACAGACTGGGCAGGTAGACCACAGTGGCTCTGAGGAGGTGCTCGGCCTCGGGCTGGCCCTCCAGGCGGTAGGTGAGGGGCTGCACATACCAGCGACCTGCAGGAAAGCAGCGGTCAGTGCCCCCTTCACACAGCACAGCTGTCACCATGCAGCAGCACCCCTTTCTCCCAGCCCCACACAGCACAGTGGAGCCCGTGGCAGCCAGCTGCCCCAGCACAAGGCAGAAGCCACAGCAAACAGCAGCCATGAGCCATGGCTTGCTGGTGGCGTGAAGGGCAAAGAGAGTCTGGAACACTCCCATCCTCTGCACCAACACCACTGCCCTGGCACAGCATCAGACAGGATGGGAAGGGGAAAGGGGCACACAGGCCCAGCAATATTTTTGCCCATCTCACCCCTGGGACAGGAGGAGCCTGGGACACCTGCCAAGGGGAACCCCCTGGGCAAGGGCAACCCCAGCCAGCCAGCCAGGACACTATAGAGAGGGGGAAGGAAACAGGAAAGAGACCCCCTCAGGGCTCAAGCCCACACTGCTGGCTTTGCTAGGCCTCCATGACATCCTTGGTGCCCACCTGCTCCTTACCTGCCCAGGGCTGATCCCCATGGGAACTGGCCTGGACCAGGCGAACGGTGTTGGTGCCCAGGCTGCGGCCGCGGCGGGGTCGGCCCTCGCGGTCGGCGGCACGGCGGTACAGGTTCAGCATGTAGCGCAGGGGCTGCCCACTGGCTGGCCCCACTCGCCAGCCTGGGCTGCCAGGTGCCTGCATTTGCAGGGCCTGCAGGAGGGGCAGGGTGGGGACGGCGGGCAGGGGGCTGGGGGGCAGCGGGGACTTGTTTGCAGCCTGGGATGGGGGCAGAGCAAGAAGGAGGAGGAGGCTGGTGGAGAAGAGCAATGCCATGATAGGTGAGTGTGTGTTTGAGGGGGGTGAGTGGGGCAAGGTGGGGCTGGTCAGCAGCAGAATTAGGAAGAACCTGCAGTCATGCTTCTCCCCAGTGGAGAGGCAGAGCTGGTTGTGGGCACCAGCAAAAGGATCCAAGGGTGCTGCCAGCTGCTATCAAGCCAGGACAACCATGCCAGCTGCTTCAGCTTGGCACAGGAGCAGAAAGGTGGGGGGCGACTCTATATGCAAAAGGGGTGCAAATTCTAGACTAAAACCTAGACCAGGGGCAAAGGCAGGGGGACAGAGCCTGGCTACAGGGGCTGTAAAAGTGCTGGGGTAGGGAAGTGGGGTGGAGGGAAGGTGAAGTGGGGTAGGTGGGAAGACCAGCTCACTCAGCCCACCTGCTCCTGGCCAGCCTCCTCCTGCAGGGTAGGAGGTCCACCTGCCCAGGGCTCATTTTAAAGGCATGGCCCCAATCAGGGTTTAAAGAGGCAGGAGCAACCTGGGTCTCAGGGGAGGGGGGCTGGAGTCTGGCAGAGTGCTCTGCTGAGGTGAGAGCCCTTCCAGCTCCCCCACCCTGTGCTGACTCTCCATCAGCAGCTTGGCACCTTTGTGCCCGTTGCTGCAAGTTGGTCTGCACTGCCCCAAGCAGGCACAGAACCTGGGGGTCTGCTCCCCAACAGCCCTGCGGGACAGCCAGGCTGCCCAGTGCCTCACTCTCCCCAGCTAGGAGATGTACACTAAGGCACACAGGTGGGCAGAGCAACCTTGAGCCCAGCAGCTCTGAGTACGGCTGGGTCAGCCAGCGGTACTTCATTGCAGGCATCACCATGCCATCACCATCACCATGCCCACAGCTTTGGCTTCCTCGACCAGCTTCAAGGTCTTGCTGCCAGCACCTGCCCAAGGCTGAGGGGCTGTGAGCATGATGCCCACCATCTTGCTGGCATGGGCCATTTGAGGTACTGTCCATCCTGGGGACTGTGGTTACACGGTGCTTGCCTGGGACAGGCCCCGTGGGCACACTACAGAGGGGGGTATGGGCAGCTGCAGCCCATGCCCCCATAGGGCAACTGGCATTGTGCCCAGTCCCATAGGACACTGCTGCTCTCCAGCTGGGATGGAGGGGTTCAGGGGATGGTCACACTGTTTGGGAACCACCCTGTTTGGGTGCAGGCATAGGGACATGGGGGGAGCTGGGGGGTGTGCTGGTGCCTGCCTTGCCCCAGATGCTGCCCACCCTTCACAGTGCCAGTTGAGCACGGTGCTGAGGGCTGTGGTGGGAGATGTGTGTGGTGCTTAATGGGCTGTGGGGCCACGTGATGAGCCAGGGCACAGAGCCCTCACGCCTGGCCAGGCAGCCCTGGTTACTCATTTGGGAAAGGGCACAAGGGGCAGACGAGCCAGTGGAGGCTGGGAAAAGTCCAGGCATGGCATCAGCCAGCCATGAGAGAGGGGCATGGTAAGGGTGGTGGCAAGGCCACGGGGGAGAGCAGGAGAGTCATGTCAGGGGTGGACATGACTGATGTCATGTGGGTGGCCATATGAGAGGGGCCATGCATCACTGCTGGGTGGGCTCCAGCACCACAAACAGCCCAGGTACAACCCCACTCTGTGCCCTGGGACACCCTGGTACAGGAACAGGGCACATGCACTGGGCTGCCTGCAGCCAGGCCGGGCAGGGTGCAGACAGATTTTAAGGCAGGCGCTGGTGGATGAGAGTTGCCAAGAAAAGTTCGAGGGACTGTTCCTGCACTGGGGCTGAGCCAGCCTGTGGTGGCCCATCAGCCTGGCACTACAAGCCCACCCTCCCAGGCCGTGGCAGGCAACCGGGGGCCGCAGGCATTGCTGGCAGGGCAGAGCTTTCCAGGCCGGCTCTGCTGTCTGGGAAAGAGATGAGTAAGAGCCGTGGCCCCGGGCGGGAAGGGGAGGGGCAGGACTCCCGGGCTCCCCCGGGAACCAGTGCCGATCCACTCCCACCGCCCTCAGCTGCCACTGCCGCCTCCTTCCCAGTCTCAGTTTCCCCAAAGGCTGGCACAGCTGCCCCTCCTGGGCCTGGCAGGGAAAAGACAAAGGTGAAGCAGGGCCACACTGCCACATGTGCCCTGAGGTGCCCGGCAGGACAGGGACAGGGCGTGGGCCAGCATGGGCAGGCCAGACAGGAGCCAGCAGCATGTGCTGGCCCGCAGGCAGGAGAGCTCGGGGCGCCAGCGTGACTGCAGGGCGGGGAGCTGGGGGGGCTGCATCACTTTACTGCCACCCCCTTGCACCCACGAGTGCTGCTGAACTGCCAGACACACTGTGCCACCGTGCCAGGCTAAGCTGTGCCAAGCTGGCCCTAATCCTGCGAGTCCCTGGTGGCACCACACTGTTCTGGGCCAAACTGGGTTGTTCTGAGCTGAACTGTGCCAGGCCATGCTGTGCCAAGCCGAATTGTGCCAGCCTGGCTTGTCCACGTCAGCCCAAGCTAAACTAAACCGAGCAAAACTGGGTCAGGCCAAATGGAGCTAAACCAGGTGAGGCCCCTGGTCATGCTGTGCTGTACCAAACTGAACCGTTTCATCCCTGTGTTGTGCCGTGCTGAGCCGAGCTGAGCCAAGCCAGAATGTGCCAACCCAGCTGAGCTGCACTGAGCTATGGTGGGCTAAGCCATGCTGACTCCCCTGTCATCCCACACCGAGCTGAGCTGTGCTGTATTGTTCTGCACTGAACTGTGCCAGCACTCCATGTCATGCTATGCTGGGCTGAGCTGGACAGAGTTGAACTACACTGGCTGGGCTGTGCCAAGCTGAGCCAAGCAGCTCACTGCAGGTCCCTGGGCTAAAGGGTGGCGTGCCAAGCCAAGCTGAGCTTAGTAGCAAGGTGCTGCGCTGTGCCACTGCATGCTGAGCCATGCCATGAGCTGTGCTAAACCAAGCCGTGCCATGCCGAGCTGTGCCGCGCTACGCTGAGCCGTACCATGGCAACACCAAGCCGTGCCATGGCAATACCAAGCCAAGCCATGTCATGGCAATGCCGTGCCGAGCAGGGCCGGCCGCCGCCGTCC